TCCAAATTCAACAAACTTACTCAACAACCACCTGGACCAAACAAACAATATTCATATAACTACTAGCCAATTTGGTACACACTATTAAATCTTATTAGATCCTACAAATTAACAATCAAACTTCAAAAAATTACAGTACATAGTAATAATATATTCAATAATTTAGCTGACAGTCTAGCAAAAAACCGAAATCACATACTGACCTTGAATTCTTACATAAGAATATCTACAACCCATCATATTATTTACAATATACAACTTATGTATTTGAACAACCAACTCATAAATCTATCAGAAATATTTGTAATAGTTATATATAATAGCAATATGGTCTTCCCAACACCGAATAGAAAATATTATTTCTCTTGCAACACAAATTGACTGGAATGCTACCTGGCTTTATTTAAATAACAATTACAAAAAGTCATTCTTTTATACCAACTTCAAACTCTGTCAAGAAAAAACTTTTAAAATCAAACTTATGTTTAATCTACTACCCACACTACCAAACTTGCACTCTCTATACTCTCAATATTTTCCAGATGTAAACTGTATCTCATGTAACTCTCATAAAAGTCAAATACACTGGCTTACATGCCCAAATGCACCTAATATAAACACAATCATTACTAATACAATACAACATTTTCTGCAAACCTCTCGACTTGATATAACTAACACACAAATTCAAGAGCTACATGACAAACTTACTCATCATCCAAGTCTATTACTCAACTACTACAACAGAAATAACACAAATATATTCACAACTATACAAGGATTTATACCTACAGTGCTTATACAAACTATCAGAGAATATATAGACTCTAACAAAACAGCAACGAATACTACTATCCAATTACTTTTACAACTATCTCAGAACATATACAAATCAACTTGGAAACCATACAGTGCAAAGCTATCAAACTGGAAACAAGAACACAACATATCTACTCATATTAACAGAAACTGAACTAGACAAAATACTACATCTATATTTAATAACACACAGCCAAGAATACTATACATCTACAGCTGCAACTATGGCTTACCTAATCAACAACATATAGACAATAACTGTCTATCTCACAGAAAAGCTTATAAAAAAGCATATTTATAGTTAACTTCTTGGATAAAATTTAGCATATCCACTAACAATATTATAAATTATAGAATCTAGATGAGTTTTTAACCACTCTAGTAGGTTTAGATTGCAGATAAATTAGATAGTTAAATATCTATAGTCTGAGTCTCATTCTTGTAAAATATTTGTAATTATTGGTCTTATAGACCAAAAAAACCCTAGTAGATTCTCAATACAAATTATTAAATAAAGATAAAGGCAAAACCTCACCTTAAAAAAAAAAAAAAAAATGAAATTTCTTTGCAAATCTGCAAAGAAAATTTCATATGACTGTGAAACATAAATTGTTGATATCTCATGATTTACCATACTACCATTAAAACTGCACAAACTTTCTTTATAACTTTAATTAGTAGTCAAAGAACTCTTTGTGAAAATCTTTTGCCATTCCACTACTATTAAAATTCTATAAGTGATTCTGCTGATTTTTACTATGAAATTTCTACCCTTTAGCTGTGAACTACCTCTTAAATATACTACTTTTAGTAGCAACTTATTTCAGTATATATAAAATAGCTACTATTAAGTATGTACATATATATTATTTTTGGTATATTATCTCTATACAAAGAGATTCTAGATCTTTATTTATTTAAATTAATAATATAAGAAGCTTACACATTATATATAGATAAAAAAAGATTGAGATTTTTAATTTCTTGTACTGTATATATAATTAAAATTAAAATTTAGAACAGGTTTTGTAAATATATATGTATATCAATATCATTAATAATTATATAAATAAATATATCAGTATATCTATATATATATTTAGTATTTTGATTAGTTTTGAAAATTAATTTAAATTTTTAGGAAAAGGCTTAAAAGATAGTGGGTTTTGTAAAGTAGCCCTTATGTCACTTGAGTTTTGGCAAAGTCTTGAATATACTTGTTAGAAAGTAAAAAACTAGTTGCACAGATACAACAATTTAAAACACAATTATCATCATTCAACCTTTCTTATATTTCAGACACAAATGCCCAAAAATCTGGTATGAGTCTTTTAACAATCTACCTTAATATTTAGCTAAACTAGCCTGTAGAATTTTTAATTAATCCTATACAAGCAAGTTGTAAAAGGAACTTCTTGATGTTAAAGTAGATTTTAGGAGATTATCAAACTAATTTGAATATAAACAGACGTAAGTTAAATTTTCCTAATAAAGAAATGACAGAGGCTAATTTTCAATATGCATGCAATATGTCTTTAGTTAATAATATTATAAGCTATGAAGAGGATCAAATAAGAGTTAATAATGAGATTTCATTAAATGATATATCTAATAATCCTGCAACCTTGTTAATTGATAAAAAAAATTTAGAATCTTCTTCAGTTAGGATAGCTCATGCTGTCTTACCCAATGATTTGGATTATGACCCTTGTAATATATTAGATTATTTTTTAGAATGTGAAAAGGCTGGATGAGTAGTTCAATTTAATAAAAGTTTAAATAAATACTGAAGATTAAGTCCTACATCTATTACAACTTATTATTAAAAATATAATTGATTTCTTATTTATTAAATTTATATTTAAGTTTGTATTTAAAAATGAGGTAATGTATTTATTTTATTTATATACAAAGAACTTATTTAATTTTTTTAATATAATGAAACAAAT